TTTTTTTTTTCCGGACCCGATCGATCTCGTTTATCGAACTTTCGATATGAAAGATACGTTTCAAGTTTGTTCTCATTTTATCTTTCTCTCATTCTTTGTTTCTTTTTTTTCTCTTTTTTTTTTTTCCATGGACAAGCATTTCGACTTTTTCCTACAACGAAGCTTCCACTTGATTTTTTATATATTTATTTTGTTATTCCTGTGTTAGTTGGTTGTTATAATTGTTGTTGTTGTAAAATATATATGTATATGTATATGTATATATGGTTTTTTTTTAATTAATTAATTAATCAATCAATCAATCAATTAATTATCTCTAGGCACGACCGCATGGAACAACAAGATTTATCTAGATAATTAATATTATCTTATCCCATCGAATTGTAAAACCGATGTATTATCTTTTATTTCTTTTTTTTTTCTTTTTTTTTTTCTTTTGTTATTGTTAGTTATCTATTCTTTTCTTCGAAAATGTTTTTTCGATGATTACAAATGGTGGACATCATATCGCAGTTGTGTTTTTGTTTGGTTTTTTTTTCTTTTTTTTGTATTTGTTTTGAATTTTTACTTTATGCAAAAAATTGACCCTACAGTATTCGCAATTATATCAAAACACAATTTTTTAGATATTTAAACTTAAAGAAATTATTTCTTTTTTTTTCTTTTTTTTTGGTTTTTGGCAGGAAATAAACGACGCTGTTCGTATGTTTGTTTGTTTTTTTTTCTAACCTTTCTTTCTTTCTTCTTGTTTCTTTTTTTTTATTTTTTTTTATTTTTTTAATACGACGACCTAAATTCTTATCAATCGTAGCGGTCGTGCCGGAAATTTTTATTTTAAAAGCACCAAATGACGTCGACAGTTTGCGTATTGTTCTTACTTTTTGTATTTTTTTCTTCTTCTTATTATTATTATTATCGTGACGTCATTTTACAAAATTATTTAGCGTCTCTCTCTCTCTCTCTATCTCTCTCGCGTACAATTTTACTTTTTTCTTATTTATTTATTTACTATAGATGCCATTTTGAGGTAAATAAATATTATCACAATAAAAAAAATAAAGAAAAAAAAAGGAAGGATACGATATTATTCGATAAAATGAAATATAGATGATCGATAACAAGAAATATTAGGCCATTAAGTATAAAACGTACGATTACTTTGATTTCAATTCGAAATCGATCATTTCATGCTTAATAACCTAATATATATATCACTGATTAAATATACAGTAGGACCATAATTAATCAGTTAACATTTATCCGGTTACTTGTTGTCTCCTATTAATAAACAATTGTTCTAGAATTAATCGAAATGCATTCACGTTTATTTCTAATTTTTCTTCTTATTTTGAGGTTATCTAATATAAGATGTCCGATCTTTTAGAATACTTTCAATACGAAATCGGCCATTTTGTATTTAATAACCTAATATATATCAATGATTAAATATACAGTAAGACCATAATTAATAATTACGTTAATTTATATTCGATTTAACGAGAAAAAAACTAATAACATGAATGAAATATTTACTTAAAAAAAAAGAAATGGCACGAGTTTGATATTAAATCAATAAACGAATCAAAATTTATGCAAATAAGCAATGTATGAAACATATAAAATATTATTTTTGTAATACATATCTTATATAAAATGTATGCATATATACATATATTTATATTGCTATAAATAACCATGAAGAAAAAATCTGATTTTACGTATGAGAAACGTGTTTGAAGTAGTAATTCTAACCTAATTCTTGATTATATATCCGTTGAATTTCTATTAATTCGCCTAATTTGTCTCCTGATCATGCTATTTAATCAAGGTCCTACTGTACATATATATATATATAATATAATTTACCTAAAATTTACCTAAGTTTATTTAAATTCATTGAATATTTTTCACTTGCATATATTACGTTTATTTTTGTTTAATTAATCGCGAGCATTTTACATATTTAAAGTAAACCATATATACTATTCAGTAATGAACTTACGAATAAACTATTACTATTGTTAAAAAATATTTATATAAAAACAAGTAATTATACAATGATACATGCTTAAAATTTCTTTGGCGTGTCGAGTGGAAGAAATGATCCTTGTTAAACAAATTTCTTGATACTTCGTTTTGCCTTTTTGTCTTTCTCTCGTTTTTTATTATTATTATGATTATTATCATTATAAATATTATTATTTTTATTACTATTATTATTATTATTATTATTATTATTATTATTATTATTTGTTTTCCAAGGCTCCAACTAGGTTTTCCCATCAACCTGAGAAGAGATTGTATTCCTTGATTCAAACTCATTTTAAACGTACAAATCATTTTCATTCGTTTATTATTTCTAATTATTTTTCTTTTCAATAAGAAAAGTACAAATTAATTCGCTAAGATTTAAAATTGTCCTAATTAATTGATTAACGAAACTTAATTGCAATCTTTATTTATAATTAATACGAATAAAAAATAATTCATATAAATAGTTTTTCTCTTTAAATATGTAAAATATTGCTCGTATATAAAATAAATTATGCACTTCGTTCGACTCGGTATCTTTTTTTGTTCTAAACATTTTGCGACATAATATACGTCCTGTGTGTGTGTGTACGTACGTGTGTATACATGTGTGTGTTATTCGATTATTCAATTTCATTAAATTATCTAATTTTTCATTTATATATTATTAGAATATTATGCGTGTATATTTTTTTGATATATTTTCAATAAAATTATTATTAATAATGTTTTATTTTATTTTTTTGAAATTCATATAGCGAGAACAAGCACACAAGGAGACAAATTTAATTCCTTTCGTTTTCTTTTCTTTCTTTCTTTCTTTTTTTTTCAATACTTCAATTGAATATAATATTCTACGTCCACCATGATTAAAATATAATTTGAAATTATGTTTAACGTTGTGTGTGGTACGTAAACTACGTGTAAATATAACGTTTCAATTTGTGTATACGTGAGTGTATATGAAAGAGGGTCGATATTATTATTTTGTTTTTTGTTTTTTTTTTTTTTTTTTTTTTGTTAAATTCCTTACAAATTATCGTCGTATCATTGTTTTATTTATTTATTTTTTTTTTATGTCAAATTTATAATATTTTATCTTTTTTACTTCCTTGTTTTAATCTTAAAAGTAATCAAATATAATAACGGCCATAGAATTATTGCTTCTACTTTGGTTTAAACATTCCCATCGTCATCGTTCTCCAATTGATTTTCTATTTATTTTTTCCTTCCTCTTCTTCTTCTTCTTCTTTTTCTTCTATTTTTACTAGTTATCAATTTTCCATTTATTCTTTTTTTTTTTTCTTTTTTTTTTTTCTTAGTTCACCCTAAATTACCGTACGCGATTTTCTTTTTTTTATGAGAGGTACACAATTAATAATTCTAAGTAAACGTAAATATTACACGTACTTGTTTCACCATTTTATTCAATTATTTATTTTCAATTAATTAATTAATTAATAGTCATTTCGATCGAAGTATCCTTTTCTTTTCTTTCGTTTCTTTTTTTTTTTCCTTTTTTTTTTGGTAAATACTGCACAAAACTTTTTATCGTTATTATTATTATTATTTTCTTTTTTCGTTCATCCTTTTGTCATTTATTATTATTCTTATTATTATTATTATAATTAATATAATTAATATTATTATTATTCTTTGTTTGTTTATGCGTGTGTCTATGTCTGTATCTGTGTGTGTGTGTGTGTATTTTCTTTTTTATTTTTTTTAACGTAGGTAGCGATGTATGAAAGGAACACGGCTAGATCGTTCATCAAAATTCAGAGACACAAAGTGGTTTTTGCACACGATCTCTTTTATTTATTTATTTATTCATTTATTTATTTAATTATTTTATATCGACTTTTTCTTCGTTTTCTTTTACATTTTTTTTTTTTTCTCTTTTTTCTAAGTCGATCGAGGAGAACGAACGGCAATTATTTACTTTTTATTTTGTTTGTTTGTTTTTTTTTTTCTTTTATTCAGCATCTTTCTTTTTTTTCCATCTCTCGTTTGCACCCTTCCCACCCACCCCCTCCGCCACATTCCACTCGCTCATTCACACATTCTTTTGTCAACATTTTCATTGTTTCTTTCCCTTTCTTGCTATTTCGTTTGTTTTACTTTTCTCTTTCATTTTTTTCTTTTCCCTTTTTTTTTCTTCTTCTTCTTCTTCTTTTGTTTACTTCGTAAAGGCAATTTTACAGAGGTAAAAAGTCAACGGGAACCGTTGTCCTACTTAGGTGGTGGTATCGAGATAACGTTCTGATAAGAAATTGGATAGAAAGAGAAAGAAGAATTTTTCATTTTATTTATGATTATTATTATTATTACTATTATTATTATTATCCTTTCGGTTATTCTTTTTTTTTTTTTTTCATTTGGCTTTATTCTTCTTCTTCTTTTTTTTTCTTCTTCTTCCTCGTTATCGAAATAGTATTATTCATTATTATTTGCGTTTTGGGATATTTTTTCCCATAACCCCCCCCCCGCCCCTTCCCTCTCACAACTCACGCACGTAAAAAAAACATTTGTCGTCGTGTTCCTCGTTTCAATTGTTGATTTTTTTTTTTTTCATCTGTTATTCAATTAATAATAGTTTGCTTAGCAAATAAAAATCATTCTCAAATTGTTTTTTAAATTGCTCGTGTGCGTGTGTGCTTTCTTTTTTTTTTTTTCTTCAAGATCAAACGACACCCTCCACCCCCAACCCTCCATTATTCGCGACACGAAGAAGAGAGTTTTTCTCACTGATATGCTCTTTCCTGAACAAATTCTTTTCTTTTCTATTTGTGTTTTTTTTTTTCTCTTTTTCTTTTATTATTTCGACGGAAATGAGAAAATTATTTATGTATTTTTTCTTTTCATTAATTAATATATATAATATATATATTTATATATATATAATATGTATGTATGCGTGTATATAATATGTCTACAGTCTCTGTGTATTTTATTATTTTTTACTTCAGCCTTCCACTCCAGCCCCTTATTCCTATCCTAGCCCTTCGATCCCTTTTCAACGATCACAACTCGTTTTTTTATTTACATTCACACTCTTTCTCTCTTTCTATTCTTCTTTCTTTTCTCATTTTCCTTTTTTCTTTTTCTTTTTTAAAGTTATACTTCTTTTTGGCGCGTTTTGGTAAGTGAAGTTAAATGCGACCGAAAAATCGACACCACGAAGTTGTCGATATTTAAAATGCGCGGGAAAATTGAACTTATTTTTGAGGTTATGTAGGTTAGATTCGTTTTGATGTACGCTAAAGAAGTATAACTTCTTCTTACTTGTGTACATATAAGTACACACATCAGTTTATTTTTTTCTTTTAAAAAACGACGGAAAAATTCTTTTTTCACAATTATTATAAATACATACGTAACTATGATCTGTGTGTGTGAGCGCATAAAATGGACGCTGCCGATATAGGACGAAAGGTCATTCTTCTTTCATGCATGCACTCTTTTCTCTCTCTCTCTCGCACTCTCGCACTCTTTCTCTCTCTCATATGTGTATTATTTATTTTAATTATTTATTCTCTTTCCAATTTCTCAAAGAGTTATCTCGATATATATATATAATATGTATTACTTTTTTCTTTTTTTTTTTGGTTTTTTTTTCCTCCCCACATTATTTTCTTTCCTTCCATTTTATCAATTTTTTTTTTTCTTTTTATTTATTTGTGGTTTTAATAATCAGTCCATATGTTTGTTTTTTTTTCTTTTTTTTCGTTTGCAATCACTTCATCGTCTCGACCGCCAATTTTATTATTAAAGCGCGAGATAAAAATAATATAAATCATTATTTAATAATAATTATAATAATATTAATAATAATAATAACGTTTATGAAGAAACAAAAATAAAATCGATAAAAGCGTGACTTATTTGTTAAAACTTTCCTTATCACATCGCATTTTTTTTTTTTTGTTTTTTTTTTTTTTTTTTTTTTTTTTTTTTATTTCAATTA